AGCACTGTTTGTTGAAGAGGCTTGCCTTGCTCCACTTCGTTGCCTTGACACCCTTGTTGAAGTTATCTGGCCATTTTAAGCCAACTTTTTTTTTTTTTAAGATTTATTTATTTGTGCATACAGAACTGGGATACAGGCCAGAGGCTCAGGGGCAGCGAGAGGCTTCACCAGAGACAGAGTGGGGAGCAGAACGGGCAGATCGACGAAGTACACTGCTGAGGGGAGCAGTGGGCAGGTCAGGAGAGGTCTGCTGAGCCATGTGGTCTCCTCCGGGGCAGGTGGGAATCGAACTCATGCGGAAGTGGCTTTAGCTTCTCAGTGCTGTGCTTTAACCTGCTGCACCACCAGGAAGGACCTAAAGGCTGTCAACTATTTATAGCCAAAGGCTATTTATTTTCTTTGTTTCTTCACTGCTTTGCATAAAGATTAAAAAACTAAATTATGATCTACCTAATTTCTATTTCAGAAGTTTATATTTTCTATTACGTTACGTATGTACCTTTTTATATAGTACTGATACTTTGGTGGTAGAATGGTATAAATGAAAACTTCATATTTTTTTTAAAGAGCAGGTTAGCACTGTCATTAGTTGATTATGTCATGTTTCCTGGAGGACTAGGTAATAATGTACTGGTTACTATTAGATGCAGATAGTCTTAGGGAGAGTAGATGAATCGCTGCTTTGGTTGGTTAGCTTTCTTGCAAGATAGCACAGTATATTGGTCAGGATGTACTGTAGTGAAAATGACAGTGACTTAAAATAGAATGACAGTCACTTAAGGACTTAGGTTACTAGAGGTTCCTTTTTGACACAAGTTTGCTGAGGCAGTCGAAAAGGAAAATGATTGTAAAAGTCTCTGCAGGTTGACATGTTATTTTCCCTAGCATTGTGTAAGCAGTCATGGCTATGTCTTAGTGCAACAGATGGGCATATATACTCTTTTTCCATGGAAGGGCACCAAATATTTCTACTATAGTTTGCTACATATACTATTATCTTTTCTCCCTTTTAGGAATCCTTTCTTTCAAAGCTCTTTAGCTTTTCAGAGGAGCTCAAACATATTCTTTCTTATTAGTTTCCTGCATATGCTAAACACTACAACGTATACTAACTATTTTATATGAAATGTTGGTGGCCATTTTTAAGTTGTTCCCATTTGTATATATTTTCTCTTTAACTTTATAATGGACTTTTTAAGGTTCTTAACTTTTCTAAGACTCTCTAGACTATGTGCATTAATTGAACCTTTAAAGCTTTTTTTTCTTTTCTTTTGGTCACTTCTATTTAGAATCTCTTTTTTGGAGACAGAATTGGGTGCCTCACAGGAAGCATGCCCTCATTTTTTAGATTTTATGCACACACATATATAAAATATATGTATATGATTTATACAGGTGATATACATACAGTATAAATAATAAATATAAGTAATGTTACAGTAATATGTAGTACCTACCTCTTGAGAAAGAGAGAATAAGAACATTGCACAAAACCTGACAAATTTTATATAGAGTTAACCATTTTTGAATAGTGACATGATAAATTTGTGTTAAGAAGAGCTATTTATAGTTACTTCAATATTTGAATTAGATGGGGTTGGAATGTTGAAAGTAGTAAGTACAGATACTGATTCTATTGAAAGAAAATCATCAAGATAAGGATAGAGGATACATAACAAGAAAGATTTACTGTTTTATGTTATACTTACTTATTCACTGTTTCATGTTATGTTATACCAAATATCAGTAAGATATATGGCTTCATTGCTGAAGTTAGAATTTATATTTTAATGATTTGTAAAACCATTAGATAATGAGACTAAATACTGATACTAATCTGGCTTAAATTTAATGGTACTCTAACTAGCAAACTATCTTTTGGGTTGATACATACAGTGATTGTTTTATTTTTGTTACATCTTTTGTTTACTTTAAAACTGGGTATGAATGAAAGCTTATGCTGAAATGATGTTTATGAAGTCATATGAACTGAGCCCATAAAATATGTACAAAATTTTAAGTCCATATGTAGGACAACTAGCCGAAGAAATCAAACTTGACTTTACATAGGAGCATTTGCTTGCACTATTCACACTTATTTGAATTTTAGTAACCTTCTAGAATTATATTTGTTAAAATTGTACTTCCTTGCTTCTTAACCCCTTTACAATAACAGCATTCTAAATGTGGAACCTTGTGATTATGGGGTGGGATGTCAGTGGTTGAAGTACATTATAATTCTTTTTCTTTAAAAATCCAGTTAACTGGCAGAAAGTTTTTGTATGTTGATGTGAGTGCCAGCAAGTAAGTGCTTTATAAGAACTTTAGCAAGAAAGTTCTTACTCTTAAGTTTTAATGAAGTGCTTGATCCTTTGCTTTTGACTTAGAGTTAATGTTCTTTATTTCTGCCTTAATGAACTATGCTATCCTATTTATAATTGCTGTTTTGACCATCTTTTTAGTGAAACATTATATATTTCTAATTGTGTTACAAGAATTATAGTTGACTATACATTATAAAATGTTACTGTTTGCATACAGTATTGGAAGATCTGCCAAATTTGATTTATTTTACAGTTTCTCCTTATACTCCTTTATATTTAGTATAGCTTTCCTCTCCTTTCTACTAATCCTCTTCCCTATGCTTTCTTCTCTCAATAAGCTGAAATACTCTATTTAGCAAGGTAATGTCTGGTCTTGGCTAAACTGCATTAAATTTTATCTGTTACTCTAAGAAGATAATTCTGACTCTAAATAATAGTTGGAGAACATTATCTGAGTGTTCATGATCATTTATTTTTATGCCCTAAATTTTCATTGTAGAACTGTAGAATGAGTTATAAGGAAGCACGGTTACATTTTCTTATAGAAATGTGGTAAACTTATAATCTACCCTGTTACTCATTATTTTCTGTATAAATATCTCTAGATAAATATCACTTAGTATTCAATTTCAGGAAAAATTTTGCTTTTCTAGGGAAGTGTTAGGTTTCCATTTTTATATGAATTAACTCATTTTTCATTTTGTCAGATACATGAAGTCCTAATTTATGTCTTTTTGTTACTTTTCACACGCTACTGATTTGCTAAGTAGTACTTGTTTCCTGCTTTTTCCCTTTACTTTATGAGTCCAGTGATCTCTACTGACATTTTTCTTCCTTATGAAAATATTCTTCCTACAGTAAGCCTTTGAAAGTCTCCCTTTAAAAAGGGAGCTTCTGCTGAATAGGTCTCTTACATTTAAGATGGTCAAAACTGATCTTCTAAATGGATTTTCCAATAATTTCTGACAAATGTATGCACCATATAATTATATCAAACTTGACTTGACAAAGTTATGCACCATGTAATTACACCAATGAAAATATAGAACATTTCTGTCATCCCAAAAGGATACATACAGTATCCCATGTAGGACAGTGCTGTGCTACACCCCCCCAGTGCCACCAGGGAGGGCTCACAAAAGAATTATTTACCACATAGTAAATCTACTTGATACTGAAAGGCTTAATCTTTACTGACAGAATGAATATCAGTGATTTTCTGAGACTTGGAGGATGCGGGGGAGGATTACTGGGATATTGTAGATATCCTTTTGGGGGTGACAGAAATGTTCTATATTTTCATTGGTGTAATTACATGGTGAATAACTTTGTCAAGTTTGATATGGTTTTATGGTACATACATTTGTCAAAAGTTATTGAAATGTCTATTTAGAATAGATTGATTTTATTTGTATGTATGTAAACATTCAAAATTGGTTAAATATATCATAAATATATATACCTTATACGTATATTGAAAGACATTAGAAACAGCACTGTACTTGTTATCACAAATGACATTTCTTAAGTCCATAAAAGTACTTGTTAACCACTCCTAAAATATTATCAGATGTGTTCTTAGAGGCTTCTGCTGTTTGAGTTAGTATGTCAAAATGTTTTAAGACTGGTTTTAGGGTCGTGTAGAATTTATGTCAAATATTTGCTTTGTACTTACTTGTCTCTGGCCTTGGGAATGTTCTTAGCAGCTCTTTGCCCAGTTTACTTATTTGTAAAATGGAGTTAATAGTCCACTGTATCAAAACTGTTGGTAGTTATGAAAATTAGATAATTTATGCACAGTGCTTAGCAAGGACCTAGTATAGAGTAAGCCCTGTACAAATCTCATTTTTGTTATTACTCCTACTATTATTTTTCCTTTAAAACTTTGACTTCCATAGTTTAATAAACATATTGAACTACTGCTCACTCTCACTTTGAAATATTTGTGGAATTTTTTTGAATGATTTACTCTAGAACTTTGTTAGATTATTAGGCCTTTTAAGAATTTGAAGAGTTGTGCTGTGGTTTTCAAGAAAAATGAACTGAAGAAAAAAATAGTTTTCCAGAGGGTTGTTCTTGGAATCATCGAAACCTATAAATAATAACCTTTGCCATTGAGAATAATGTACAAACAACTGTCTTACCCATGCATTGTTAAACTTTATTAAAATATTTTTGTTGTAAATTAAATTTTTATTGCTTCAATTTTAGATGTAAACTACTTCATTCTTGTGCTAAAATGATAGGCCTTCAATTGTTAGCTTTCTAAAATAAAAATTTTCTCATATTTCCAGTTTATTTGGATACTCATCCTAATTTTGATCAAAGTGAGTCATAACTTTTAAAAAATGACAGGTTCATTTATTTAATGTTTTAGTTTTACATTCATACATATTCAAAAGCTGTGAGTTCTGATATGCTCTTGTTAAGGGGCTTATCTACTATGATTTCTTGGATTTTTAACTTACCATTTTATTAATTCACTTTACCTAAAATTTTATTGTCCTAAACAACATGAAAACATATAAAATATATCTTACTTTTTTGGATATCTTCGTACTTATTTAATTCTATTGTTTTTTCTTAGAATGTATAGAACGTAAACATTACAGAAGAGTGATGGCGTGTTTGTTGTGATTCTAGACATAACACTGCAAAAACAAATTATTCTTTCAGAAACTGTTTTGATTGGGCCTACCTCACCTTTACCCTCTCCAGGGAATGGAAATGAAACTCCACCTGGATCAAATACACAGATAAAGAAAATCCGAGGAATTGGATTTGGAGATATTTTTAAAGAAGGCTCAGTGAAACTTAGGACAAGAACATCCAATAGTGAAGCCGAAGAGAAAAAAACAGAAAAGGTAGTATTGATGAACTTACTTAGATTCCATTCATTCTTTTGTTAAGCACCTTTTAAAAGTAAAAAAGTTATCAACTCTTACCTTTAATTCTTGACATTGCTAGTCATTATGAATGAGAAAACTAAAAAACAGATTCTAATTTACAGTAATTTCTTTAATGTTATGTTTGACTAATACAAAATGAATCCTTTTTGATAAATTTAGTGGAAGCTTATTTAGTTATTATAAAAAGCAAACTTTTTGATCAATTTAGTGGAAGCTTTTAGTTATTTAAAAAAGGCTTTTTTTTTTCTTTTCAAACCAAAATTATATTTCTTCTCCTTTAAATTGATGTAGGGTTAAAATGGGCTATTTTAAAATCACCTCACAATGAGACATTAATTAGGCCCTACTTATTTTCCTCCGTATTCAGCTATGGTGTATCTGCTAATCTGTGGAGAATTTTATTTTCTATTAACATTTCACTGGTAGCATAATAAATCTAAGAGAATGTTAACATAAATTATGTGATAATATAAGATATAAAAATCTTTACATTTTCTCTTAGGGAAAAAAATACCTGCAACCTTAGGCATTTATTTCAAATCTGCTCATGCTGTTAGCACCTTAGAGGTTAAATTCAGATTGAGCACTTTAACAGGATGCTTTCCCTTGACTTTTAGGATGTTATTTTTCTTGTAGTTCTATTTAATGTCTTTTCTAAAAAGATTTATTTATTTATGCATACAAGAACTGGGATATACACTGGAGGGTGAGAGGATTCATCAGAAACAGAGTGGGGAGCAGAACAGGCAGATGTACTGAAATACACTGCTGAGGGGAGCAGTGGGTGGGGCCAGGAGAAGTCTGCCACTCCCAGTGGGCCACCTGCCTGAACAGGGATAAAATTTGTGCTGCAGTGGCTTCAGATAGCTTCATAGTGCTGTGCTTTAACCCATTGTACCACAGGGAGGGCCCCTCTTTAATATCTTTTTATTTAATCTTAAAAGTGAAGTTATTGCAGTATTTACATGCATAGTTTAGTAATGCCAATAGCTTATTTATAATACTATTTTTTAGTGAAAACATTCTGAAGTTTTCACTTTTAGCAGTTAGTTTCAACATTTTTTCTTACTTTCTTATATTGCTATATTTTTTTTCTGATTGCAGTTTAGGAAAGAGAACTTCTGCTTTCTTTTTTACCCTTGCCAATCTATGAAGCTATCTTGCATGAAAATTAGGATGCCTAGTTGATTCATGATTTTAAATGTAAAGATAGAATTGACATTCCAGTGCTGTTTAGACATATAAGAGCTAAGAATCTCAGAAAAGCAATGTCTGAATCATAAGGGATACCAGAGTAGATGATCTGGAATCTCTTTGCAATGATAAAGCTTATTGTTATGTTGAATAAATTATTTGATTAATGAATATGCTAATAATCTTTCAGTTGTTATTTTTAATGTCCTCTAGCAAGAGTTATTTATTCTGTATGATGGCCTCTTGAGGATTCCTTTGATCAATGACTAGGAATTGTTAAAATAGGGAGCGGGCTTGCTATATTTGTAGATGACACCAAACCTGTTAGAGAAATTAAAATGAGTATATTAAAAGATAACCATAATGCAGTGGTTGGTAAACAGTATGATAGCAATAAAGATGTTCTGATCTTTAGCTAATGAAATATGAGATCAAATATGTTATTTCTGGGGAGAGGACTTGAGCACTTAGTATCAAACTTACTGTAGGCAGTACAGTAGAAAACTGTCTAGTGGAATATAATTAAAAAGGTGGTAACTTAAATGTTTTCACTCACATGACAGGAATGACATAGGAAAACCTTTTCACTGTTCTATTTTAAGGAATCATAATGCTGGCAAGAAACTATTTTCTTTGAATTTGTAGTTTCAAATCTGGGCTCTATGATTTTGGTACTGTTACGAATAGGTTCTTCATTGCTTTTTAATCTATGAAATGAATGAATGACAGTGCTTTCCTGATACAGATTGTTTGAAGATTATGTTTTATATAAAGAGCTCAGCTCAGAAATTGGGACAAGTAAATTTTCAAATAGAATTATTTATTTTAGAGTGTCTCAAATTAAATTATAGACCTATGCCCATTAGTATTATGGGATATCAGCATGTCTATTATCCTTAAAATAGGGAGTTTTAAACATTAGAAGTTCTGTGCTATCACTTCAGTGACCTTTGAGCTCTTAAAGAATTTTCAGTATCATTACTACCCTGGCTATAAATACCTTTAAGGAAATCGGAATTACTGTTAATGGAACTTTTGTTTAATAATACTACTTTTATTCTAACTTAAAATAGTAAATGTCTTTCTCTCCTCTAGCCTCTAATCATACAGTCATTAAGCTCCAAAACTCAGACTGTGGAAATGACAAGAACAGACACTGAAGGTAAAATTAAAGGTAGGCTTTTGAATAGATTTTCATATTGAGCATAAGGCATGCTTACATATAGTATTAAACTTATTGAAGATATTTGTTTACTTATTGTTTGATCAGTGTGAAATCTGTGATTTAAGAGTTTGAAGTTTTATTCCCTGACATAACCTCCTATAGTTGAAACTGGAACACAGTAGGCACTTGTTTAATTAATGAAATTGTTACTTAATTTATAGCATTGGATTAAATTCTAAAATTTAAAGAAGAACTACTAAGTTATATTATTTGCATTTTTTATTTTAGCTAAGGAATATTGTAGAACGTTATTTCCCTATGATGGTACTAATGAGGATGAACTTACTTTTAAAGAGGGAGAGATAATCCTCTTGATAAGTAAGGTAAGATATTTTTCAGTGACTCATGCAATTTACTAAACAGAAATAGTTTTCAGAAGTCGTTGAATTTGTTTTCTGTGTCCTGAGACCCTGGAATGACAAGTGTGCAGAAAACTTTTTTCCCCTCTGTGCTTTTATTATCTTTGTTACAATTTATATACTGGGAATTATTTTTATTGTCATATTACTATTAATTTTTCTTTTTTTCCCCCAATAATAACTCCCTTCTTCTGTTCTCTTCCCACTTCTTATTCCATTCATTCTGTTTTTTCCCCCATACACTCTTTGGAGTAGAAACAGATACAAAAAGATAACTGTTTAAAATGTCTATCAGTATATAGTTTAGAATTTCATACTGTGGAAAATGATGCAGTAATTTCAAGGAATAGGTTAATTGTATAATTTGAAATGAATTCTAAAGGAAAGGAAACATTTGGGATGTGGGCAGACTCTGTGGGCAGCGAGAAAATTTGTGAAGTTTTGTGTTTGCTATAAACCTGCAGCATAAGTTTTGATATTTCTCCCAGACTTTTAAGCTGACTTTGTTATCAGATGATTTTGTGTATGTGATTTTTAAATATTCATATAGTTTGAAGTGTTGACATCTAATTGCTCATGTAGGGATTGTATTTGGAAGGAACTACAGAAGATCTTACTAATTTCTAAAAAAAAATAAAATGAACAGTATGGTTAATTTTTAGTATATAAAGTATTGAGAGGAATGTTAAGTAAGGTGATAAATGTTAGAGAGATTCATATTCTTTCTTACCCTCCTCCATTTTACTTCTCTGAAGACCTTTTTCCTTGTTGATTAACTTTTTTTTAAAGACTTATTTATTTATGCATACAGAACTGGGGTACAAGCCAGAGGTGCAGGAACGGGCAGAGGCTTCACCAAACAGAGTGGAGACCACAATAGGCAGACTGACAAAGTACACTGCTGAAGGGAGCAGCTGGTGGGCCAGGAGAGTTCTGCCACACCATGTGGTCACCTCCATGGCTGGAGATCAAACTCACACTGAAGTGGCTGAGGCCACTTGCAGTGTTGCCTCCCAACCCATTGCACCGCCAGGGAGGGCCCTTGTTGATTAACTTTTACAATTACTTACCCTCCCCCCAAATTAAACCTGTTTCCATAAATGCTGCAGAAGTAAAATGTAAGAAATATTTTCTTCAAGGAGGCCCTTAATGGTCTTTTACTACTTTTAAAAAAATGATATATTATGTATATAAGAGCTGGGTGTAGGCTGGAGGTGGAATGGGGGTGGGAGGATTCACCAGAGACAAAGTAGAGAGCAGAGTAGGCGGATTGACTGAAATACACTGCTGAAAGAAGCAGTGTGAGAGACAGGAAATGTCTACTGTGTCATGTGGTTCAGCTCCCTGGCTGGGATCCAGTTTGTGCTGCTGTGACTGTGGATAGCTTCATAGTGCTGAGACTTAACCTTTGTACCATCAGGGAGGTCCTATATATTATTTCTTATATGAGTAATGAAATTTTTTTTTTAAAAGTTTTATTTTATTTATGTATACAGAACTTGGGTACAGACCAGAGGTGCAGGGGTGGTGAGAGGATACACCAGGGGCATAGCAAGGGGCAGAATAGGCAGATCAAGGAAGTGCACTGCTGAGGGGAGCAGCAGGCTGGTCAGGAGAGTACTGCCATACCATGTGGGTCACCTCCCTGGCCAGGGATTGAACTCACTGGAGTGGCTGTGCGAGCTTCAAGTGCTGCACTTTTTTTTTTTTTAAAGATTTTATTTATTTATTCATACAGAATTGGGGTACAGGCCAGAGATGAGGAGGGTGAGAGGATTCACCAGGGACAGAGTGGGGAGCAGAACAGAAAGATCGACGAAGTACACTGCTGGGGGGAGCAGTGGGTGGGTCAGGAGAGGTCTGCCACGCCATGTGGATCTTCTCTGGGGCAGGCGGGGATTGAACTCATGCGGCAGTTGCTTAAGCTTCTTAATGCAGTGCTTTAACCCGCTGTGCCACTAGGGAGGGCCCCTCAAGTACTGCACTTTAACTTGTTGGCCACCAGGAGGGCCCCATAAATAATGAAATTCTGTATTCACCTACTTTGTTGTAAACTTTTCTTTATTTACAAATAATTTCTTTTAATCTTCATTTTCCATTTTAGGAAACTGGAGAAGCTGGCTGGTGGAAGGGTGAACTTAATGGTAAAGAAGGAGTATTTCCAGACAATTTTGCTGTTCAGATAAATGAACTGGATAAGGACTTTCCAGTAAGCTTTTAGTTTTTACGTTTTATTTTAATAGTTATTTACTATTTAAGTAACACAGGTCATTTATTCTGGGTTTTCTTTTTACTGAAAAGTATACTGAAAAGTAACTTTAGATTTCCATTACTTTGTTAGAACAAAAAGAAAAAAAAATGTGTTGGCTATATTAGAAAACTTAGCACTTGCCTGGATGAAATTATATTTTTATTTAACTTGTTATAAATCTTTATTTTAAGGTACCTTTGATTTACTCATTCTGTTAACAGTTTTTTTTAATTGAGATATATTGGTTTACAGTATCAAATATGATTTAGGGGAATGAGTTCACATGTCCTCATATGTGAATCATACCGCATCTTCCACCAGAGTACCCATCATCCTTTATCATTGTGTCCGCTCATTTGATGAGACTCAGAAGCAATCTTTACCTTCTTAGAAGAATTAGTTGTTCTGTTTCACTTATCACAGTGAATAATGTAGAGTCATTTGTTGATGATCTTTTACCTTTCTACAATTTGATTCCTTTTTTCTCCTCTGGAGGGATGGATCTGTGTTTAAAAATTAGAGGCAGTAAAGAGACTACAACAAAATGCAGCAAGACTATGATACATGATTCAAGTTAACGCAGAACCCGCTGAACTCTGCAATCTTTCAGTTAGTTAAATTACTGGAAGTCATTCTATAGAGGCTTATGTTCTCTGAAATTCTCCCTGGATTTCATTCAGTATTGTTTTCAGCTTTCAGTATGCTTTATTTTCTTTCCTTTCCTAATGAACTTTTTTTTTTTTCTTTTATTGTATTTTTCACAGTGTTGATAATCAGCTATTTTTAAATGGGAAAAACAATTCACATACATTAGACACAAGTTCAAGTTTAAGTATTAAATCTTTAAATGAGTGCTTGTAAGCCCAAGAGAATTTAAAAACATTGAGGGAATAAAACACACCTTTGCCTTTTAATCTTCTCTGTTGAGAGTCTCCTTTTGTCTGCTCCACACCCCTGGCCTTTCTCCCTCAACTGCAAAATGTACATGTATGATGTTATATAGGAATCTTAAACTAGGGAATGCAGAGAAAAAATCTTTACTCATAACAAGGTATTTTTAGGTTTATCCATCTCAGTGACTGTTTTTGAAATACTTGAATTTGTTCTAACAGGATGGAATTCTTTGTCAATGACCTTTTACAGATTTGTTATGATCATACTGATTATTTTTATGATATGACAGGGAGAAGATACAAAAGTAGTATATTTGTATAATTTAGATTATCAATGATTAGAATTATTTTAATTATATTTAATATGTAAATATTTAATTGTTTTAACCATTATTTTAATAGAAACCAAAGAAGCCACCACCTCCAGCAAAGGGTCTAGGTATGTAAGAAACACATTCAACTTTTCATATCTTTAGGTTCTAAAGGGTGAAGTTGGGTCTTACTAACCCATTAATCTCTATGAGCCAAAAAAAAAAACAAAAAACAAAAAAAACCGAATGTGTTAAAGTACAAATTGTATAAATAGAAGTCATGAAACTACGTTGGCTACATGAGTTATATGTCATTTTGAGTTGAGATAATGAACTAAGTTTAACTCTTTTTAGAAAACTTAATGTACTGAACTGGTCTTTTATATTGTATCAGGAAAAATCTGTTCTTTAATATTTCAGACTAACACTAATTACATAGGTAATCTTCCTTTAGAGAATATGCAGAGAAAGGTTGAACAAACTAGAAGAGTTTATTTTATCAAGAAGGTGAATAAATTTTGATACACCCAGAAGAATTTTCTTGCACTAAGTATTAGAATCTGACACTCTGTATCTCTGAATTTTAGTCTATTTCTGATTTTTATATGTACAGTAAATTTTTTTTTTCTTGAACAAAAGATGCACATCTTCCTCTGTTTAGTGACTTAATTTTGTGTTTGTTGATCTAATCCAGAGCAAGGGATAATCATAAATTCAAAGTAATTTTCATGAAAGTTTGAATTGGATACTTATATTCATTGTTAGTAATCATAAGACTTTTAATATTCACTAAAAATTCAATTGAAATTGAATTTCACAATTGTAACAGCAACATTTTCACTGTTCAGTAGTTAACATGACACAGCACAAAAATAGAGTATTTCCATCATCACAGAGGACTCTACTGGGTAGCAGTATTGTAGAGAGAACATGAATATCTTTATTGACAAAGAATGAATTGAGACCACAGTATTAGTACTTACTTACGGAAAAAGTGGCAGATACAAGATTAGAAATTGTACCCAGAAAATCTGTTCTTTCTGTTAAATCATATTTTCATCTGATAGTTTTTAACTAATTTTTAGTTTTTAGTAGTATAATTGGATTTTTGTTCTAAAACAGTTTTTGAAGTTATTAACTTTTTCCCTTAGCTTCCAAGCCTGACCTAGTAGCTGCAGAGAAAAAGTATTTTCCTTCAAAACCAGAAGAAAAAGGTGAGGTTGATTAAATTCATAAAAATTATTTTTCCCTTTGTTGTCACTGTGTAGAAAAATAATGCATAAAATTAACCATTAAATGACTTCTTTTTTTTTTATTACTTCTGTAGTTCATGAAATAAAAATTTTCATGAGTGTAAGAGTGAGCTCCTACTTAAGACATGGATTTAACTTATTAAGTACTAATTTTCATTGTATATAATTAGTATTAAATACTAATTTTCATTGTATGTAACTTGGAAATTTTCCAAGTTACCATATGTAAGATGCTTTTCTAAAAAGAGGAGTCAGTGTTTGTTTTATCTCCATTAATTTGGAAAAAATAACCTCCTCTTTTGTTCAGAAAGATCTGCAGTTGTCTTTCGTAGATTAGGTTATATGCACATAGTAAGCTTAAATATTGTTTTAGAATCTTTTTGTTTCTACTCCCTGTCATATCTCTTGTCTCAAATGTTACATAGTTTTCTTGATTTTTTTTTGTCAACTTTACTTCCTTGTCTGGCTTTTATTTCATATTTTTTCAAGAGCAGTTTTAGATTAATATCAAATTTCAGTGGTAAGTTCAGAGAAACCCTACATGCTCCCTATTTACACATATGATCAGTTTCCCCCACTATTCATATCCTGTACTATTAAGGTGCATTTGTTACAACCAGTACACCTCTGTATCATTATCACCCAAAGTCCATAATTAAGATTAGGGATCATTGGGACCTCTCTGGTGCCGGAGTGAGTTAAAGCACCAGCACTAAGAAGCTAAAGCCACATCCACATCAGTTCGATCCCTGACTGCCTCTGAGGTAATCCACACAGTGTGGCAGACCTCTCCTGACCTGCCTGCTGCTCCCCTCTGCAGTGTACTTCATCGGTCTGCCTGTTCTGCTCCTCACTCTGTTCTGGTGAATCCTCTCACCGCCCCACACCTCTGGCCTGTACCCCAGTTCTGTACACATAAGTAAAACTTAAAAAAAAAAATAGGGTTCATTCCTCTTGTTGCACATTTTATAAGTTTGGACAAATGCATAATTTGGCAAATATGTAGTTGTAATATTATAGAGAATCTCACAGCCCTAAAAATATTTATGCTCTTTCTTTTTTTCTTTCCCTCCACTTAGGCCCTGGCAACCATGGGTCTTTTCATTGTCTCCATTTTTCTGCTTTTGCCAGAATGTCACATATTTGATTATTTCACTTTGTAGTATGTATGTAGGTGTGTTAGGTTTCTTGTGGTCTTTTCATAGTTCATTTCTTTTTTCTGGTGTCTGAATGTACCACCATATAGCCTTTCACCTACTGAATAATGTTTAGTTGTTTTTAGGTTATAATAGTTAATAAGGCTGCTATAAATATCCATGTACAGATTTTTTTTTTTAAAGGTTTATTTATTCATACAGAACTTGGGTACAGGCCAGAGATGCAGAGGGTGAGAGGATTCACCAGGGACAGTGTGGGGAGCAGAACAGGCAGATCAACGAAAGTACACTGCTGAGGGGAGCAGTGGACGGGTCAGGAGAGGTCTGTTGCACCATGTGGTCATCTCCGGGGCAGGCGGGGATCGAACTTGTGCAGAAGTGGCTTAAGCTTATTAGTGCTGTGCTTTAACCCGCTGTGCCACCAGGGAGGGCCCCTTGTACAGATTTTTATGTGAAAATTAAGTTTTTACTTTTCTTTGGTAAATACCAAGGATTGTGATTGCTTGGTCAGGTTGTGAGAGTAAGTTTGGCTTACTAAGAAGCCATCACCCACTATATGTAGCAAACATTTATACCCAAAATATGTTTTACACTTTCACAGCTTTACCTTTTCCTTATGATTTGTGCTTTAGCATGGGAGATTTTTATTTTCCCTTTTTATTTTTCTAGTAGAGAACTTTAAACTATGATACAAAGATAATTTATAATCAATAAAATGTTTCTTAATTTCAGTTTAGCCCCTTGTTGATAAATTGCTAGGCCAGGTCTTAGATCAGTTTGATTTTAGTACTTATTTATATTTAACATAAGAAAGCTTATCTTACAAAGATAGGACTAGTAAGAAGTCTGTTGCTGGCTTATGACACTCATTTCATATTCTGCACCATTAGTGCATATTTCCCTAAAATTAGTTTTTCTAATGAACTAAATGAAATCTGATGCACTTTTATTATATTTATATGCTTAAAATCCTGGCCATAATGAAGTTGCCTCCCAAGCTTAATAATCAGAAAACTGGCCAAAACAGATGCTTTCTCACATTAGACAGGTAGCATGGGCAGACTGTTAATGTTTGAAAGAATGGAAACTAGTGAAGTAAGCCCCAGCTTATTGTCTAGAAGCAGTCTGCAGATAACAAAAAATGAGGAAGGTAAACAGTGTGAGTTTTCTCCTGTTTTGGGGGGAAACTCCTCAGTGCCTACCCTTAAGTAGCTCACTTTATTCTTTGTACCTTATTTTATTATTAGTATGAAACATGTATTGCAGGAAGGGAGGAACTGTTGTTTATTTTGGAGTGCTAAGTTGGAGGCATATAAACGTGTGAGAGAATGTAACTGCTTCTGACTTTTCAAGTACCTTATAAAACTCTTAAATAGTGGCCCTCCCTGGTGGCGCAGTGGGTTAAAGCACAGCACTGAGAAGCTAAGGCCACTTCTGCATGAGTTCGATTCCCACCTGCCCCGGAGGTGACCACATGGCGTGGCAGACCTCTCCTGACCCGCCCGCTGCTCCCCTCAGCAGTGTACCTCATCGATCAGCCTGTTCTGCTTCCCGCTCTGTCTCTGGTGAAGCCTCTCCCCGCCCCTGAGCCTCTGGCCTGAACCCCAGTTCTGTATGTACAAATAAATCTTTAAAAAAAGAAGAAGCTAAAACCACTTCCACATAAGTTCGTTCCCTGCCTGCCCAGGAGGTGACCATATGGCGTGACAGAACTCTCCTGACCCGCCCACTGCTCCCCTCAGCAGTGTACTTCGTTGATCTGACTGTTCTGTCTCTAGTGAATCCTCTCACCCTCCACATCTCTGGCTTGTACCCCATTCATTGTGTATGAATGAATAAGTAAATAAATCTTAAAAACAAAACAAAACAAAAAAACCTCTTAAATAGTAACCTTATGTATACATCCTCTCCATAGTTATAGTTACCTGCATAGGAAGAGCTTAAATGACTGCTGAGGACTAAGCTAACTTCATATTTTTACTAGTGGAGACAATGAATCTGTATTCATTTTTGCATGAATATTTTCCTATGTAAGATTTATTTCTTAAAGAAGGTCATGTGGCTGTTGCTGGTTCCCTCCTAGAAGTCTGGTAGCATAATTCATTCATTCACTGAACTAAAAGTAAGGGTTGTCAGAATTTGGTCTTTTGGTACATGATTCTTGAGTCTTTGGACAGTCATGTAAAAGCTCACATAATCATTTACCTTTTTGTGCTGGTGATTCTTGCTTTGGGTTGGTTGGGTTTATACACATTCATTGCTCTCTTTTTCTTCCACTTGTTTGTATTTAATATTTTCTGCCATATATTTGTGTACCTATACACACTTATGTTTGCACAAATATATATAATAATTTTTTAAGGGAAAGACTTAGTAGTGAAACATGTTTTAATTTTTCTAAAATAGTTTTTTCTCTTTAATTCTTAAAAGATTGTTAGTGTTGGACTGAATTCTAAGTTGGCAAAATAATAGGCCTTGGCACATAATTCAGCATAAATACCCATGGAAATTTTGAGATATTCTACTTTATATTTTTGTTTGGAATATGCTCTGTTCTTACAAGTCAATAAGAAAGAATGCATAGTTGTGCAGAGTAAAAACTTATGAAAATATAAATGGAATAAAAAGTTGTGTATTTTCTAATTT